CAACTCCAGTGCAACATTCACCATACAAGCATAATAGCATAGCATTACTTTTCTCTTTATTGGTTGATTTTTTCTCAATTTGCAAAATTGTAGTCCAGTCAGTTGAAAAAAAACATGACAAAACATGGTGCTGTTTACAAATATAGGCACAGGGGAAGCAATATACCTTAGTATAATTTGTCTATGCTGTATGTTTGTAAAAACTGTACCATATGTTGTGCTTGTCCAAATATTTGTATTGTTACCTTTCTCATAAGATCAAGTTCACATCTCAACCTCTGTACTGCACAGTTTATTTCTAGTAAATGTAACCTCCAACCATCATCCAATGGTAAATTGCTGGCAACCCAGAAAGAGAAGTCTGGAAAATAAACACAAATATTTTATTAAAATCTTCCATCACAAATTAAAGCCAACAGAAATAATATTTGGCTCAAAAGAAATTATAGAACAGATATACTAATATACAAATTCACCAAGTAACCAACATTTACGACTTATTTGTAAGGGTTATATGAACACAAACTTGTATTAGTCTGTAATTAATTTACATGCAAACTTCAGTTGAATAGTTTGTCTTAACCTTTTCACCACCACACTTTCTCAACTAAATTTTTTGCACTTTTTTTTTATACATTGTATTTTTCAATATTTCTGGAAATGAGCTTCAATTTCGGAGCCAACAAGACAAAATTTGGCTATTTTGCACATACCTGTAGGGTTGGACGGCACATTCGATAACTTAGTTTGCGTTCCTTCGTACCATCCTGATAACTCTTTTTTAATTCTATTTATGAGTAACTCCTGAATGAAAAAATTAAACTGCATCATACAGGGTTTTTTCTAAACCGGGAAATAGGGGAGCAGCGCCCTGATACTCGCCCTCTCACCGACTTGCTTTCAAGTCATAAATATATTTCTTGAGCTGCGCAATTCCGTGTTGTCGTACAACATGAAATCTTTCTCAAATATATTTTTCTTTGAAAAACTTCCCAGCAACACCAGCTGACAATGTCTCTGGACACCAAATACACTAAAATTACTTCAAAAATATTTCAATGGCGATAGATACACCATTAAAATGGCGCAGAAACCTTCTGATATGGCATTTCCAGGTCGATCGCCTGTGTGTGCTCCCTGATCATACATACATGTATGTATACCGGTATGCATTAAACCATCACAGTTTCAAATTTTATGCTAACATACTGTAAAGACAATGTATTTACATTCAAATCCATAATAAGCATGGCACAGATGAAGATTGTGGTACAGAATAGAATCATTCTTGGAGACTATACATATGATATATATATATTTTATATGTATTTGCTCAATTAGCAAGCACTTGCAGTTAAATAAATGACAGATTCATGAACAAAATGTTTTGTTTTACATGAACTAATTTACAATTGATTAATACGGTACGGTAACATGATCAATTAAAGACAAAGTTTTAAATGATGTATATTCACCGAAACAAATTATTGTATATAGTGGACAACTATTTTTATTAACAATTCATGCAGTAGCACTTATACATGTTTATGGATTCAACATGTAAAAAATCCCAAAGTTAATTTTACTTACTGCATCATACTGTTCATATATCCAAAAAGGCCACCATGTGAAATCAGCTGCTGAACGTTTTCTTTTTTTAACTTGTGTCTGTAGATTTGATGCAGCATCTCCACTGCATTCAGGTGGCTTCATACTGCGGACACTGTTCATTCTAAATCTATTGTGTGAATCAAGTCGTGCACCTTGTAAACAATCTGGGAGATCAGCTTCCGCAAGAATTTTAATCTTTGCCATAGTTACTCTAGTGACAAACAGAATGATACAACTGTGAGCTTTCCCTGATGGAATGTTTACACCTGATGAAAAGTATCGCAAGTTTTTTTTTAGTAATATAGCCCCAATGGTTACATTATCTTATCCATTTCATTTCATGGAATAAACACATTGAACACATTGATATGAAAAACATATCAAAAGTGCACGCAACACGGACATTAGGGTCTTCTTCTTGTTCATGGTTATTCATGCAGGCCGTTAGCCATCATCATGGCAAACACAGCAATTTCTGAAAATTTTGCCAAATTATTTTTCATGACTGCCTGTTTTTAATCACAATGAAAAAAACTTGGGGTACCCAAACTATTCTTTGAAATAAGGACCCAAACTGCATTTAATCGGACCACTATGATAAAATCGCAAAGTCATTGTTTCTATGAAAACAAGTACCCTAAATTTTATTTGCACGTTGTCATTTATTTGAAGGAATCTTTCACACTCAAAATATTAAGAATTTGTAGAACTTTTAAAATTTCCATTTTTTTTCAGTATCTGTATCTGAACTCACAATGATATATGTACAGTATCAGGTTTTAGTTTTAACATTCTGTTTTGTACAGATTTATTTGATAAGTCTTAAAACTGGCTGTCTACCCAGTAATTGTCCTAGCTTGTTCAATACTTCAGTTGCATATTATGCACAGTCAGACTACAGATAGAACACTGTCATACTGTTGACAATTGCTGATATTATGATACATCCTGACCATAGAAATCAATGATAAAATATTCAAATATTTGTTGTTTTTGATTATTTTCAACCTCTGCATAGTTTTATTTATTAAAGATGATAGCATGAAGGGTTGAGTCTCACATGTTCTGACATATACCGGTACTACCGGTATTCAATAAACTGTCTCTTACCCATCAACTTGTCTTCTGGTCTCAATCAATTCAAATCGTTGTCTCCCTGTTGCTTTTATCCTTATCGTATCGATACCTGCTTCTGATTCCTCTTTCACTGAGTATATTTCAGCTGTTGTTCCAATTTTTGCAAGAGTGGGTCCTGTCATGGGCGCATTGTCGTATCTATTAAAAGATAAGGCTGGATGGTGTACATTGAAAACAGATATGTATATGGATAAAAGGTTTTAAGGTAAACGCATTTACCGTAATTGTTCTTGATTCCAATGAGTGGCCATGAGGTGATCATTGTA